ACAGAGGCTCCTCAGGCAGTGGGCCAGGCAGCACCACGGACAGTGGCTCCGGGGTCTTGGGGGTGTACACCTCACAGCCCTTGTCTCAGGAGTTGGCAGCGGAAGAAAGCATCTGGGACCTTTGTGCCGTGACCTCATGCACCTTAAGGTCACCGGCTACACCCATGTGTAGTCTAGGAATCGTGTGTATTACCCATGAGCGCCCTGCGGAGAAGAAAGATGTTGTGCATGCAGTGTGGTGGGTGGAATTCTCAGATGGCCCCTCGTTTTCCTTTTCTCCCCCCCCCCCCTTTTTTTTAGGTTAATTCTCACCTGAGGATATTTTCCCATTGAGTTTTAGAGAAAGTAAAATGGAGGTAGGGAGGAGAAGAGAGAAACATTGATGTGAGAGAGAGAGAAACATCGATTGGTTGCCTCCTGCATGCATCCTGAGCAGAGCTGGGGAACGTGTAACGGAGATAAGTGCCCTTGACCAGATTTGAACCCAGGACTCTTTTTTCTTTTTTTTTTTTTTTAAAAAAAATATATTTTATTGATTTTTTACAGAGGGATAGAGAGCTAGAAACATCGATGAGAGAGAAACATCGACCAGCTGCCTCCTACACACCTCCCACCGGGGATGTTCCTGCAAGCAATGTATATACCCTTGACCAGAATCTACCATGGGACCTTTCAGTCTGCAGACCGACGCTCTACCACTGAGCCAAACCGGTTTCGGCATGAACCCAGGACTCTTTAGTCCGAGGCCAAGGCCCTATCCACGGAGCCAGACCAGCAGGTGCCATGGTTCAGTGTTAAGTGGAGGCTGTCTGATTGGACCATTTTCCAACATGGACAGAGGGCGGCCCCCAGGGACAGTGAGCTGGGTACGGGCTTGGGCTCCTCTGGGGGCAGGGCTGGCCGGTGCAGGCTGCCTTTGAGGCCCCCTCACTTCATGGAGGAAAGGCCATGGTTCCTGTTTGTTTCTTGGGAACAGGAGTCTGGGAGCCGTGCCTGACGACAGGAGGGGCTGTGGTGCGTTTGGTCTGCTGTCTCAGCAAAGCACTCATGGCACTTCTCAGACTCTCTTCCCGGGAGCCCCAGAGGAGGGAGGTCAGGACAGGAGGTCACCCCGTCTGGGAAGCAGAAAGGAAGCGGCAGTCCTCAGGGTTGGAAGGTGGAGCAGTGCCCAGGCCCTGTCCGAGTGTGCTTGCTGCCGCTGACTTGCGGACCGGGCTTGTCAGGCCCTTGTCGAGGTGTGGGTGGGTGTGTGTCCTGTTGTCACAGCCGCTGGACCAGATGTTTATGCACTGAGGTGGTGGGGGCATCCCGAAGGGGGGAGGCCGTAGTGACGGGGGAGCTGCAGGGCGTGGGGGCCACGAGACCATCACACGCCTCCGGAGACTGATGCCCACTGGGCCGTGCCCCAGGCAGGGGCCTGGCCGGGTGTGTGGCATGGCGGCACCAGAAGGGGTGAGGGTGCGAAGTGCATCGGTGCCAATGTGCTTCATGCAGGGCGTCAGGGGCTGTCTTATAAATGTGTTTCCTGAACAGAATTGACCTGCAGCACTGGCTCTTGAGCCAGCCCGGCGCCCACGCACTCAGGGAACCCCGGGCCACCGACTGTGGGGCCCGGCCTCCCTCCCGGGTGCACGGGGGCCTGTGGCTGGGGCTCCCGGGTGCAATTCCAAGGGCAGAGGGAAAGGTCAGGACCCGCTCCCTTGGGAACAGCCAGGAGACAGCTGTGACCCTAAGGGGGGCTCTGGAGCGTGGGGCTCGGGGCAGAAGGCCCAGCAACAGTGCTTTTGAGGCTCTGAGATCTTTAGCCCCCAGTCCAGCACCCTGACCCTCTCCATTCATTCATTTGTTCATTCGTTCATTCATTGGTTCATTAATCCATTCGTTCGTTGGTTCATTCCTTCCTTCAGGGGGTGTGGGTGTTGGGGTGTCCAGTCGCACCTCTCAAGGAGCTTAGCGTGGGCATGGAGGCAGGGCCGGGGGACACATAGGTTGAGAGAACTGGTGCGGAGGCCACGGTGAGGGGGGCAGCGGGCTGGCTGGGTGATTTCTAAATTGGCGCTGGCGGGATGGGAACCCACTGGCGGGTTTGAGCCGTGGCTGCCAGGACAGTTCAGGTTGTAAAAGACCACCCTGTTCGAGGGTGGAGGGGCAGCCTGGAGGCTGCTGGGAGCTCTGGCGGGAGGCGTCTCAGTGGTGAAACAGGAGGCCAGTGCACACAGCGTTGGACAGAGGGCCGTGGGTCCAGGCTGCGGGTGGCCATTTGCTCAGATGGCAGAGTGAGCAAGCGTCTCAGAGGGAATCCCCTGAGAGAAGGACAGTGGCTGCCTCTGTGACGGCACACCAGCTGAGCGAGCAGAGATGGTGCACCAGGCCGTGGCTGAGCCAAAGGCATCCTGTTGCTGCCACTCCTGCCTGTTTGCTTAGCGCTTTCTACCTGCCTGGAGGTTCCTACTTGCCTGAGGGTCCCACCTGTCTGGTGGTCTCACCTGCCTGGAGGGTCCCACCTGCCTAAGGGTCACACCTGCCTGGAGGGTCCCACCTGCCTGGAAGGTCTCACCTGCCTGGAGGGTCCCACCTGCCTGGAAGGTCTCACCTGCCTGGAGGGTCCCACCTGCTGGGGGTCATTGGGAAGCAGCAGAGTCCTGTGCTTTTGGAGACAACTTTCTAGATGGAAAGGAGAATGGCCAGCAGTGTAATAAGTGAGCCACAGGAGGTGCTGGAAGGAGGCTCTACGGGAGGTCTGAGGGCTGGCCTTTTGTGAGGCATTGAGACGTCATGCAAACCGGAAGGTGACAAGGGGGAGCCCTGGGGTCTGGACAGCCTGCAGGGCCAGAGGGGGATGGAACGCAGGAGGCCAGGGCTGGTGGCCCCACAAGGACCCTTCTGGTTTCTGATAGAATGTGAGGGCCTTCGGGCTTTGGGAGGCTGGGGTCTCATCTGAGGTCTTGGAACTGGGCTCCTGGTGGGAGGAGAGGGGAAGGGAGAGGGGACCCTTCGGTTGTGATCCTGGGCTGCTGCCACGGAGGCAGCGCAGGGAGGGGGTGAGGGGAGAGGGAGTATGCAGGGCATTGGCAGGATGGGACGGGGTGGAGCGGCAGCCATGTGCTCGTTTTCCTCAGCGGCTGGGCCGATGTCCCGAGTGTGCCTCCTCATCCTTGCTGAGCAGCGTTCAGGTGTGATTGAATCCCCCCTCCCTCCCACAGGCTCCCAGGAGAACCCAGTTGGCCTTTTCCAGCTTCTGGGGATACCCATAGCCCTGTCTGTCCACATGAACCTCCCCATGGCCATCCCCATGGCTGACCCCATGGCTGTCCCATGGCTGTCCCCATGGCTCTCCCCAGGGTTGTCCCCGTGGCTGTCCCCGTGGCTGTCCCATGGCTGTCACAGTGGCTGTCCATGTGGCTGTCCCCTGGCTGTTCCTGTGGTTGTCACCTGGCTGTCCCAATGGCTGTCCCTGTGGCTGTCCCCTGGCTGTCCCCTGGCTGTCCCCATGGCTGTCCCATGGCTGTCATAGTGGCTGTCCCATGGCTGTCACAGTGGCTGTCCCTGTGGCTGTCCCCTTGGCTGTCCCCTGGCTGTCCCCTGGCTGTCCCCTGGCTGTCCCCATGGCTGTCCCATGGCTGTCCCATGGCTGTCACAGTGGCTGTCCCTGTGGCTGTCCCTGTGGCTGTCCCCTGGCTGTGCCCTGGCTGTCCCCTGGCTGTCCCCATGGCTGTCCCATGGCTGTCCCATGGCTGTCACAGTGGCTGTCCCTGTGGCTGTCCCCTGGCTGTCCCCTGGCTGTCCCCATGGCTGTCCCATGGCTGTCCCATGGCTGTCACAGTGGCTGTCCCATGGCTGTCCCCATGGCTGTCCCCAGGGCTGTCCCCGTGGCTGTCCCCGTGGCTGTCCCATGGCTGTTCCATGGCTGTCACAGTGGCTGTCCATGTGGCTGTCCCCTGGCTGTCCCTGTGGCTGTCACCTGGCTGTCCCCATGGCTGTCCCTATGGCTGTCCCCATGGCTGTCCAATGGCTGTCCCCATGGTTATCCCCGTGGCTGTCCCCGTGGCTGTCCCCTGGCTGTCCCCATGGCTGTCCCATGGCTGTCCCATGGCTGTCACAGTGGCTGTCCCTGTGGCTGTCCCCTGGCTGTCCCCTGGCTGTCCCCTGGCTGTCCCCATGGCTGTCCCATGGCTGTCCCATGGCTGTTACAGTGGCTGTCCCTGTGGCTGTCCCTTGGCTGTCCCCTGGCTGTCCCCGTGGCTTTCCCCATGGCTGTCCCATGGCTGTCCCCATGGCTGTCCAGTGGCTGTCACCATGGTTGTCCCCGTGGCTGTCCCTTGGCTGTCCCTTGGCTGTCCCCATGGCTGTCCTCTGGCTGTCACCATGGCTGTCCCCGTGGCTGTCCGCAGGCTGTCCCCGTGGCAGCTGGCTGCACAGCGAGAAGTACCAGCTTCTCTCTGTGACGATGCTGCCTGGCAACAAGAGGAATTCTCCAGGTCAATGTCCTGACGTACAGGTCCTGAGAACATGTTCATGAAGTGTGCGTGCTGCCTGCAAACTGGCACACATGTGCTGTGTGCATGCACATGTGTGCACGTGTGTGTGCTGTGTGCAAGGGCGTGCTGCCTGTGTGCACTGTGCATGCTGCTTCTGTGTGAGTGGTGTGCGTGGACACACCTGTGCACCTGCCGAGTGAGCCTGCGTGCTGGGCTCGAGTGGAGCAGGGCCTCCAGGGTCCTGGGTGTGGCCCCAGCTGTGAGTGGGCACTCGGCACCCTGGTCTTGATACCGAGGCGCGTCCTGGCGAGCGGACAGACACGGAGGCAGGTGGAAGGAGCCAGAGCTGTTTATCGGGTACCAGTGGGCAGCAGAAGGGGGTGCCAGGGTCGGAGCCGGCTCTGCGGGCCGGCCGGGGGAAGTGGTCCCGCCCGGAGGCCTGTGGCTGAGGGGACTGGTGCAGGCCCCCCCACACGCTGGGCGGGCCGGGCGGCTCCCTCAGGCCAGGCCGGTGCCCACGGCTCACTGCCCTCCCGCCGGGGCCTCCCAGCTCCGCACGGTCCCGGGCCGGCTCCAGCGAGCCCCCCGGAGGGGCACCTTCTTGGCACAGCCCAGCGGGGCCGGGTCCCGGCCCTTCACCTTGACGCAGGTGACGAAGCCGCTGTAGAGCAGGGTGAGCAGGAAGAGGGCCACGAAGGTGGGCCACAGGCGGCCGGCAGCGTCCAGGGCGGCGTCCAGGTCGGCGGAGCCGTCACAGTCCTCGTCCACGCTCAGGGGCGCCCAGGGGGGCGGCGCCGGACCTGGGGGGGAAGGTGGCTGGGTGAGGTCGGGCCTGCAGCCTCCCCCACGGCAGCCGGGGCACACGGGGCCACAGCTTGCACAGCCCAGCGCCCGCCTTGTCTCCTACCGGATAGGCACCTGCAACCTGCCTTCTCGTGGCCAGGCCTGGGCCCGGCCTGGCAGGACCAGGTGCTCACAGCACCGAGGGGGCGGGTGAACGAGAAGGAAACACGAGCACGTCAGTCAACACACGTGCGACCAGAGAGCCAGGGAGGCGCTGGCCGCTGTGCTCGGCTGCGTGGCTCAGGGGCTGAACGTCCACCTAGGAACCAGGAGGTCACGGTTTGATTCCCGGTCAGGGCACAGGCCTGGGTTGCAGGCTTGATCCCCAGTGTGGGGTGTGCAGGAGGCAGCCGGTCCATGATTCTCTCTCCTCATGGATGTTCCTATTCGTATCTCCCCCTCCCTTCCTCTCTGAAATCAGTAAAAATACTTATATATTTGGAAGTGGCAGCTGTGATGAGCTGTGGAAGACGAGATGTTGCCAGCTACACAGAGAGAAGGGAACTGCGTCCTACGCAGAGGACAGCAGGCATGGATGCCCTGTGTTGGGACGGAGAGGCCCCGTGTGGCTGGCATGGAGGGCTGGGACGTGTGGGGGGCAGGAGACCGGGCCCAGGAGGTGTACAGGCCCTGACGGCGGCCGGACGCGTGCCAGGGCTGAGCCAGGACATGTGCCCAGGCTGGAGGATGGCTGTTGTCGGCAAACTTATCAGTCCGCAGAGCCTGATACCAGTACAAGGACTGAATTTTCTTTGGAGAGCCACATTTTTAAAACTTAAACTTCTTCTAACGCCACTTCTCCATCACAGACTCACCCAGGCCGTGGTATTTGGTGGAAGAGCCACACACAAGGGGCCAAAGAGCCGCATGTGGCTGGCGAGCTGCGGTTTGCTGACCATGGGAGTATGGCATCGTCTGGATGGGAAGGGGACTCGCCCAGTTGGGTCGGGTGCCAGGGCTGGGCAGGACGTAGCCTGGGAACCAGCATGCAGGGCAGCCCGGGGCCTGCTGTGCATGGCGTGGGTGCAGGGGTGGGCCTGGCACGGGTGAGCGCCACAGCTTTGCGGTCTGTGGGCTCTAACAATAAACAGCGGGCACAGCCTTGCTTCTCCTCATTTGATTCTTTGAGTAATTAATGATTGGTTCCTAGCGAGCGTGTGCTCCAGACTCAGGGGTCCTTGACGAAATGGACATTTAGAGAACAGCGGTCCATCGCCATGGAGACTGAGAGCCACCGGGGAGCCAGGCCGGGGCCCGGGGCCTGCTGAACGGATCCCTCGTGACCAGCCCAGCAGGCAGGGCTGTCTCAGCAGCCCCGTGCAGCCTGTGGAGCTGTGGACACCGAGCACGGGTCAGCGGTGGGCTCCGGGCTGCCTGGGTGGTGTCCTGTCCGCGGCCCAGCCCAGCGTGCCCACCTCGTCCCATGGGGGCCAGGCGGGCGAGGACGGGGCAGGGTCTGGGTGCCCTGCCTGACGGGGCGGCCTGGCAGGAAGCTCAGAAAGGAGGGTGAGCCCTGGACACTGTTAGCCCCACCCCGCGGGTCCTGTCCCCTCCACCGTCCGCATGGCGTCGAACTTTGTCCCTCCTGGGTGCGCCCGGCTCCCAAGGCGTTGGCCGTGGTCTGGGATGGAGGCCTGGGGAGGCTCGGACACCCTGGGGGATAGTCGTCTCCAGTGACCACCCCGTGTCCACCCGGGGAAGGCCCTGCTTCGTGGCTGTGAGCAGCGTGTCTTCACAGGAAATGGCTGCTCCCAGGGACCTGGTGGATTGGGGGGACCCCATCTCCCGTCCTCCTGGACCAGCACCCAGTGTGGGGATACCAGGAGTGGGTGGGACGGACGGGGGTCAGGTCCCGAATTCCCGAGTGTGGGGACAGCGAGTGCAAACTCCAGATACCAGTCAGCCGGGTGGGGCCGTCCTGGGGGGCGACACAGACCCCCGGCCGCTGCCCGGCTGCCCGCCCCCAGCCCTGAGCCCGGATGGTGGGGGGGAGAGGGGTCTCACCTGCAGCGTCCAGGCTCCAGCTGGCGTTGAGCAGCCTCCCTGAGGCCGGGTGCCTGACGGTGCACGTGTAGGTGGCCGGCGGCCGGCGGGGGGTGGCTGGGACCCGCAGGACACTCCAGGTGCGGAACGTGCTGTCTCCAAGGTTGGCCGTGGCCTCCGCAGTGGCAAACCAAGCCGTGTCCACCTGGCGCGGGCCCTCCTGCCAGGTGAGGACCAGCTCCGTGGGAGAGAAGCCCGCCACCTCGCACAGGAGCCAGGAGGCCGCCCCGGCAGAGGCGTGAGCACCCGGCGTGGCCAGGACCCGGACGGCGAGGCTGCTGGGCGCCGTGGCAGCTGCGGGGAGGAGCCTGGGTACGCCCTGGCCTCGGGCAGCCTCTGGAGAATGTGTGTCCTTGTGGGCAAAGGTGGCCGGAGTGGCTGTGGAGAGATGACATGGGAGTCCCTGGCCTGTTCCTTCCAAACTGCCCCTGGTCCAGCTCCCAGGCAGTGACCTCTGAGAGAGGGGTCCAGCACCCCAGCCTCTGGGTGGGACCCAGGCCGGGTCTGGGCATGGTGACCAATCCCTCATGACCCCTGGGTTCACGGGGTCGGGGGCCTTGAGGTGGAAGTGGGTGGGGGAGGGGAGTAGCCTCCTGGCCCGCCCTAGCCAGGGCTGTGGCCGCTCTGTGGCCCAGCTGTGAGGGGCAGCTCTGAGCCCCACCCCGGCCACATGGTCCTTGCATCGGTGCCTGGAGTTCGCTCCGGTTCTGGCGGGACCCTGCTGGCCTGGTGGCCGTGACTGTCTGCCAAGTGCTCAGGGACCACCGGTACGGCAACCTCTTCTGTGGTTTAGGGCGTGGACAGCCAGCAGGTGAACAGGCCACAGATGGACAGCGGCCCAGGAGCAGCGCACTTGTAAAGGGACACACCCTGGCCCTTGTGGCTCAGTGGATAGAGTGTCAGCCCACAGATGGAAGGGTCCCGAGTTCGACTGCAGTCAAGGGGATGGGCCTTGGTTGCGGGCTCAATCCCCAGCCCTGAGTTGGGTGTGTGGGGAAGGCAATCAACCGATGTGTCTCTCACATCAATGTTTCTCTCCCTCTGTCGTTCCCTCTCCCTTTCTCTCTCTCTAAAAAATCAATGGGAAGAGTACCCTCAGGTGGGGATGAACAGAAAATAAAAACAAAAAGGCAAAGGGCACAGTCAATGGGTCTTCGTCCACCTGAAATGGAGGGACCGTCCCCACGTGTTTCTGAGAGCACGCACACCGTGAGAGCCGCCGGCAGCCGGGAACCCTCGCCTGGCTGGGAGACCCAGGGTCCACCCCATAAACCCCGCCCTCAGGGGGACCCCGGTTTCTGTGAGGGGCAGTGGAGCGGGTTCTGCGCTCCTGGCTGCTCTGGCTGCTCTGGCAATGAGTCCCCACAAAAGCCCTCAGGACAAGCCTGTGTCTCAGCCAGGCCCACGGGTGGGGGCATCCTGGTGCTGGCCCGGGGCCCTCCTCGTCCACAGTGCGCCCTGTGGTGTGACCCGGCAGGCACCCAGTGCCTGAGGGGCCAGGGCAGACCTCGGCATAGCGCCTGGCATGGGGTATGTGCTCAGGAGCAGAGTTCAGGGCCCTGCCCTTCCTGACCAGGAGAAGGAGGCATCCTAAGGCATGGACAGGCGGTGCGTAGGAGTTCGCTGGAAGAGGGGCTCCTCACCCAGGGCTCTGGCAGGGCTGGGGGCTGTGGGGAGTTCCTTTGAGACAGCTGGCTTGTGGGACACCAAGGGGGGCAGCTCAGCCTCGTCCTTCAGGGTTTTCCAAGACGCTGAAATCAGAGGGGGCAGTGGGCAGCTGAGGTCAGAGAGCATCGTGGACACAGGGGACAGGCTGCCGGGTGGACGGGAAGACATGGGTAGGGCAGGGACGGGATCCAGGGAGGGTCCGGGGAGAAGCTGATGCTTCCAGCCCTTCGGGAACAGGAGTGGAAGGGACTGGGTTCGAATGCTGAGCTGGAGCGGCTGAGGGCAGAGTCGGGGGTAGGGTGCGAGCCGCTCTGGGGGGCGGCTGGGTGCCCATTGGGCCCAGTCCCTGCTTTGGTCCTTGAGGTCAGGCCCTGGAAGATGCTGGGACATGCTGGAGGCCACCCACCTGGCCACTGGAGGGTCTTGGACATGTCATTGGCGCTGCAGACGAGGGGGACAGGGTTCCAGGTGACGATTTGGTAGTAGAGGTAGGTGACCCCTTCCGGGCGATTCACAATCACAACGTCCTTTGTGGGCAGCTTCTCTGTCCCTCTGTGCCAGTTGACTGATTGGGTCCCTGTCACCAGGCAGGCCAGGGTCACGTTTCTGCCTGCTTCTGGGGCCTTGCACCCCGCGACCATGGGGAGCACAGTCACCCCAGGAGTACCAACTGGAAGACAGACAGACGGGTTGTGCTTGTGAGGCCGGGCACTCCCAGGGCACAGGGCAGTGTGAGGGGAGAGGTCCCAGTCCTGGGAGGCCTGGCAGAGCCCTGGAGGGGAGGCCCAGACAAACTCTGGTCCCCTTGCTCTATACATCTCCTGTCTAACCCCTCCCATGGCACCGTGAGGGGTGGAGAGATCCCCAGGGTCAGGGTGTGCCCTGGCGGATGGGCATGGGGGCCTCAGTTGCCCAGCAGGTGAGGCAGAGCCCAGCTGGATTTGAGTGTTATCACCTGAGCAGCAGTGAGGTCCACCCTTCCTGTCCCCATCTCTGCTCCCAAAGCTCTGCTGCTTGGGACCAGCCTATCGATGGCTTTGGTCTCGGCGGGGTGCTCAGCCCTGTTCTGTGGGAGTCTGGGGGCCCACAGCTCCATCAGCCAATATCCAGGCAGGCGACACCCTGCACAAGCTTCAGGCCTGGACCCTGGCAGGGCTGCCCCTCATGAGCACTGGGCTCTGGGACTGGCAGTTCCCTGGTGCGTTGGCTCACAGCTTCCTCGTCCTTTCTGTGGGGACCAAGATGGATGGGCCCATGTGGGATCCCCACATGGGCCCACTAAGATAGGCACTGCTCTATCTTAGTTTCATGGCGCCTTTTCTCCCAGCTACCTCCTCCTCCCATGTCCCTGCAGGCATACTGCCTGTCGGTGCTGGGACAGGGCCACAGGTCCCTGTGATTCAGCTGGCATGTGGGCTGTTGGGCTGGGCAGTGCACCCTGCTCTCTCTGAGGGTCCCCGGTTGCACAGCCCACCGCCCTGCTCTTCCAAACGCCTGGTGATCCTGCTCTCATCTTTTCCTGGGCTTTCTCAGCGGGGCCATCTCCCTTTCCCATAAGGTAATGGGGTCTTGCTGGAGTCAGGTGGCTGCAAACCCCATAGAAGTTCGTCCTCAAGGAGGAGGACACAGAGACACACACAGGAAGTGGCCATGCATGGAGAAAGCTCTACAGCAGGACACCAGCAGCTCCCAGAGCAGCAATGGGGAGGGCCTGGCCACCCCCTGACAGTCTGGGGGCACCAGTCCTGTGACCCTTGACCTCGACTCCCAGCCTCCAGGTCCACAACAGTAAATTTCTGTTGTTTAAGCCCACTGGTCTGTGGGACTACAGTACAGCTGATGTAGGAAATAAATGTGGTCCTTAGTATCAGAAGTGGGGTGTGATGGTACCAGCACCTACGAGTGTGGGCATGATTCAGAGTTGGGTGGTGGGTGGAGGCCTGGAAGGTCTGAGGTGAAGACTGAAAAAACCCAAACCTGGGAGCATTCAAGTTCTTGTTTTTCAGCATTGTTGTCATTTGGGTTCAAATAAATGCTTATAAAAATTCTCCACAGAGGGTATTGGAAGATGGTGGTGCCGTAGGGGGATCTTTCTCCCACCTCCTCCCAGAATCTAACAGATTGAAACTAAGTTGGAGAATATTCACCCAGAAATACCAGATGAAGACTGGCTGGAGAGGAGACTTTGACACAAGGAAAGGCAGAGACCACCTCAAGAGTACACCTGTACAACAGCTGAGACGATGTGTTTGGGGCTGAGCCTCACGGTTTGCCATCCTGAGAGGAGATCCCAACCACAAATGAGATAACAATAATCAAGATATAATGATAACAGAAGATAAAGGGTCACTCCTGGAGCACCCACCTCAGGAGTTCAAGGAGACAGCACCATCTCTGTCCTACAGGATATTTACTACCAAAGGCCAGACCACAAAGACTGGGAGTGGTAGCAGGTATATCTAACACAGAAATAAACACAAAGAGACAAGTAAAATGGGGAGACAAAGAAACAACCACAAAATGGAAGAAAATGAGGAATCTCCAGAAAAAGACCTAAATGAGATGGAGGTAAGCAATTTATCAGACACAGAGATCACAGGAATGCTCAGGAATTTAGTAGGAACTACAAAGAACGTAGTGGAAACTACTTCAACATGACAAAGAACATAGAAACCATGTACAGGAACCAGCCAGAATGAAGAATAAAATATCTGACATAAAGAATGCACTGGAAGGAATTAAAAGCAGGCTTGATGAAACAGAGGATCAAATCAGTGATTTGGAAGACAAGGTAGGAGAAAAAATTCAATTAGACTGCAAATGGATAACAAAACAAAACAAAACAAAACAAAACAAAACAACAACCTAAAACACATGAGGAGAGTTTAAGGGGACTTTAGGTCAGCATGAAATAAAAAAATCTGCATAATAGGGGCACTAAAGAGAGAAGAAAGTGAACAAGTGATAAAGAACCTATTTGAAGGAACCAGGACATAAAACTTCCCTAATCTGGTATAGGAAAAAGCCACTCAGGTTCAGGAAGCAGAGTCCCAATCAAGATGAACACAAAATGACCTATACCAATACACATCATAATTAAAATGGCAAATATTAAAGGCAAAGAGAGAATTTTAAGAGCATCAAGCAAGAGATAGTCAATTACTTATAAGGAAGCTCCCATAGGCTGTCGGCCGATATCTCAGCATAAAAACTACAGGCAAGTAGGTAAAGTATTTAAAGTAATGAATAGCAAGGATCTGAAACAATGACTACTCTATCCATCAAGGCTATCATTCAAAATTGAAGGTGAAATAAAGAGCTTCCCAGACAAAAAAAGATTAAAGGAGTTTATTACCATCAAACCAGCATTGCAAGAATACTAACGGGACTGTTGTAAGAAGATTATATATATATACTAGAGACCTCGTGAATGAATTCATGCACATTGAAAGTAAATTAATCAGAAGCAATATTTTAATATTGCTATTCGCCCTTTCTCTATAATAGAAGTGTCAACCAAATTCATGATTGACAATGACATATCAAAACACATGCATGTGATTGGTGCCAGTGAGTGCTTTATTCACTGAGTGGCCAGATTATTATGATCTCTGAATGCATAATAATCTGGCAACTCAGTGTATAGCCTATATTATAAAAGGCTAATATGTAAATTGTCCCCTCAACTAGGAGTTCGACCAGTGGGCAGGCTGGCCACAGCCAGGCCAGGGGGAGGGGACATGGGCAGTTGGCCAGCCTGCCCGCTGGTCGAACTCCTAGTTGAGGGGACAATTTGCATATTAGCCTTTTATTATATAAGATATACACTGAGTGGCCAGATTATTATGCGTTCAGATATCATAATAATTTGGCCACTCAGTATATTTATCACCCATGCACAAGTCAACATAGCTATATATATTAAACTTGTTTAATTAGACCTGCTTTCTGATTTAGCTAAACTTTTTGCAGCCCAGTGAAGCATCGCTTCTCTTTCAGGCAATTATTAGCAACACAGCAGGAGATATCAACATGAAGCAGATTATTATTGTAGATCATGCAGGGAAAACAAAGGGTAAAATATTTAACAGCAACAGTGTCTATATTCTGTGCAGTGAGAAAACCTGAAGTCATTTTCAAGGTCCACCATTTCTTACTTCATTTCAGTTGGGTCAAGTTTCTAAACTTTCTAAATCTCCATTTTCAGGGCTAATGAAAAAAAAAAAATAAGATTTTACTGAGCCTCCTATCTACCCATTCCAGGACTTATGTGAGGATAAAATGAGATGAGGCATGGGAAAATGCTTCACAGACATTTGGTTAAAGTGTGAAATGTTTCCACCTGGCTATAAAGCAAGTGGTGTTCCTGGGCTGAAGAAACTGCAAGGAGGCTAGTCGTTGCTACGGTGAGAAAGCTGGCCGTTGCTACATGATATCATTACCCACACTGACACTTAGATATTAGCGCTCTCTCTCTCTCTCTCTCTCTCTCTCTCTCTCTCTCTCTCTATATATATATATATATATATATATATATATATATATGACATTGGGTATCTAATAGATAAAAAACATCACCCATATATATGCTATTTATAAGAGACCCACCTCTGAACAAATGATTCATACAGATTGAAAGTGAAGGGATGGAGAAGAATTACCAAAGCAAACTGGAAATGAAAATAATAAGTGGGGATAGCAATACTGACATCTTACAAAATTTACCTCAAAATGAAGGCCATCACAAGAGACAACGAAGGTCACTGCATAATAGAAAGAGATCACTCAACAAGAGGATATAACCCTGGTAGATGTATATGAACCCAGTATAGGAGCACCTAAAAATATTAAACACCAGCTGGAGGACTTTAAGGTAGAGATCAATGGCAATAGAGTCATCATAGGGGACTTTAACACCTCGCTGACTTCACTTGATACATCTTCTAGACAAAATACAATCAACAAGGAAACAGTGATTCTACATGGAACACTATATCAGATGGATTTAATTGACATTTACAGAACAATTTACCCCAAAGCAGCAGAATAAACTTTCTTCTTAAGTGCACAAGAAACACTGTCAAAGGTAGACCACATGTTAGGACACAAAACAAATCGTTACAAGTTCAAGGAGATTGAAATTACATCAAGCGTCTTCTCAGATCACAATAGCATGAAATTAGAAATGAACTGCAATAAAAAAAACACCCTAAAACATTCAAACACATGGAGGCTAATTAGTATGGTATTAAACAATGAATGATTTACCAATGATATCAAGGAGGAAATAAAAGAACTTCCTGGAAACAAATGAAAATGAACACACAGCTACCTCAAATCTATGGGACACAGCAAAAGCAGCTATGAGAGAGAAGTTCATAGCATTGCAGGCCTACCTGAAGAAACAAGAAAAATCTCAAATAAACAATCTAACCCCACAACTAAAAGAATTTGGAAGAGAACAACAAGAATAGCCCAGAGTAAGCAGAAGGAAGGAAATAAAGATCAGAGTGGAAATAAACAATATGGAGAATAATAAAATCAATACAAAAGATCAGTGGAACCAAGAGCTTCTTCTTCAAAAAGATAAAAAGGTTGTTGACCATTTGCTAGACTAAACAGGACCCCAATAAAATCAGAAATGAAAGAGGTGAAATAATAGCTGACACCACAGAAATATAAAATGTTGTAAGAAAATACTATGAACATCTCTATGCCAACAAACTAGCAACCTGGGGATAAATAGACAAATTCCTGGAAATATATGATCTTCTACAATTCAACCAGGAGAAATCAGAAAAATCTGAATAGACCAATAACAATTAGTGAAATTGAAACAACTAGCCTCCTTGCAGTTTCTTCAGCTGGGGAACACCACTTGCTTTATAGCCAGGTGCAAAGATTTTACACATTAACCAAATGTCTGTGAAGCGCTTTTCCATGCCTCATCTCATTTGATCCTCACAGAAGTCCTGGAGTAGGTACTTAGAGACTCAGTGGAATCCTATTTTCTTTTGATTAGCTGGAAAATGGAGATTTAGAAAGCTTAGAAATTTGACCCAACTGAAAAGAAGTAAGAAATGGTGGACCTTAAAAATGACTTCAGGTTTTCTCACTGCACAGAATATAGTCAAAAGTTCTGGGCCAGATGAATTTACCGGAGAACTTTACCAAACATTCAAAGAAGTACTATCACCTATCTTTCTCAGACAATTAAAAAAAATGGGAGGGGGGGCCGGCTTCCAGGCTAATATGAAAAAAGGCCAGCGTTACCATTATCCTAATTCCAAAACCAAAGAAAGACATTACAATGAAAGAAAAATCACAGGCCAATCTCCCTGATGAATGTAGATGCTCAAATCCTCAACAAAACATTAGCAAATCAGATACAGCAAGACATTAAAAAGATCACGCTATCACCAAGTGGGATTTATTCCAGGGATGCAAGGTTGGTATATTACCAAATGGCATTTGAAAGTCAATTAATGTGATACATCATATAAACAAAATGAAGGGTAAAAAATCCCATGATCATATCAACAGATGCAGAAAAAGTATTTTAGTAGGGGTTGTATTGACTCTGTTGATCGTTTTGGGTAGCATGGACATTTTAATGATGTTGATTCTTCCTATCCATGAACATGGTATGTTCTTCCATTTGTTTATGTCTTTCTATATTTCTTTTTTCAATGCTTATTGTTTTCTGAGTATGGGTCTTTTACCTCCTTGGTTACGTTTATTTCTAGGTATATTTTCTGGTTGCAATGGTAAATGGGATTTTTTTTTTAAAGTCTCTCTTTTTGAGAGTTCATTATTGGTGTATAAAAATGCCACTGATTACTGGATGTTAATTTTGTATCTTGCTCCTTTACTAAATGTATTAAATAAATCTGGTAGGTTTTTGGTGGAGTCTTTGGTTTTTTTTTTTTTATATATAATATCATGTCATCTGCAAATCATGAGAGTTTTACTTCCTGCTTTCTAATTTAGATGCCTTTTACTTTTTCTTCTTGTCTGATTGCTATGGCTAGGACTTCCAGTACCATGTTGAATAAGAGTGGTGAAAACGGACATCCTTGTTTTGCTCCTGATCTTAAGGGAAATGTTCTTAGCATTTGCCCATTGAATATGGTGTTGGCTGTAGGTTTGTCATATATGGCCTTTATTATGTTTAGGCATGTTCCCTCTAATCCCATGTTATTGAGAGTTTTTATAAAAAATGAGGGCTGGCCCAGCTGGTGTGGCTCATTGGTTGAGCACTGATCCATGAACCAAAAGGTCACCAGATCAATGCCTGGTCAAGGAACATGCCCAGGATGGGGGATCAATCTCCAATTGGGGCATGCAGGAGGCAGCCAATCCATGTTTCTCTCTCATCGATGTTTCTGTCTTTCTATTCCTCTCCCTTCTTCTGTCTCTAAAATCAATAAAAACATATACTTTTTAAAAATGGGTGTTGAATTTTGTCAAATGCTTTTTCTGCATCTGTTGACACGATTATGTGATTTTTATCCTTCATTTTGTTTATGCGATGTATCACATTTATTGACTTGCAAATATTGTACCAACCTTATATACCTGGAATAAATCCCACTTGGTGATGGTGTATGATCTTTTTCATGTCTTGCTGAGTCTGATTTGCTAATATTTTGTTGAAGATTTTAGCATCTATACTCATCAGGGGTATTGGCCTGCAATTTTATTCCTCTGTAGTGTCTTCCTCTGGTTTTGGAATTAGGATAATGCTGGAATCACATAGTTCACACACATCTAGAAAAAGTATTCAAAAAATTTACACGGAACAACAACAACAACAACAACAACAAAAAAAGACCCCAAATAGCCACAGCAACCTTGAGAATGAAGAACAAAGTTGGAGGGATCACAAAACCAGATATCAAACTATACTACAAGACCATTGTAATCAAAACAGCCTAGCACTGGCACAAGAACAGGCATATAGATCCATGCAACAGAACAGAGAACCCAGAAATTGACCCAAGCCATTATGGTCAGCTAATATTTGACAAAGGAGGCAACACCATACAATGGAGTCAAGACAGTCTCTTCAATAAATGGTATTGGGAAATTTGGACAGATACATGCAAAAAAAAAAGTTGGAACTGGGTTACCAACTTATACCACACACAAGAATAAACTCAAAATGGATAAAAGACGTAAATGGACGCCCCCAAACCATAAAATCCTAGGAGAAAACAGGGGCAGTACAGTCTCAACCATCTCGTGTAGCAGAATTTCACCGATGCATCTCCGAGGGCAAGAGAAACAAAGGGAAAAAATTAAACAAACCACATCACACTAAAAAGCTTCTGCCCAGAAACCATCATCAAAATGGGAAGGGAATCCACTGCATGGGAGCACATACTTGCCAAGGATACATCGAGTAAGGGGTTAATTTCCAAAATATGTCAGGAACACTTACAACTCAACAGAAGGGAGGCAAACACACCAATGTAAAAACCAGCGCAGGACCCATGTAGACACTTCTCCGGAAAGGACGTGCCCATGGCCAAGAGACAGATGAGAAAATGCTCAGATCCACTGATGGTCAGAGATGCACATTGCGATGATAATGACCTCTCACCTCACACCTGCACTGATGGTCAGAGATGCACATTGCAATGATAATGACCTCTCACCTCACACCTGCACTGATGGTCAGAGATGTACATTGCAATGATAACCTCTCACCTCACACCTGCAGGGATGGCTCCCCTCAACAACGAATGCGTGTCAGCCGGACAGCACATCGAAGTCTCTTGCAAACCCATGACAACCATCGAATGGGGCTTGGACTTGCTTGGGGCCGTGGCCTCCCTCTCCCTTCCTTCCCTCTCCTCCTTCTGGGGTGGGAATGCCGGCCATGGGACCTTCCTGCCTGCAGCCCCCGAATCTGCGCCCGCCACAGTCCTCGGGTGGGGAGGCCCCTGGTCCCAGGACCCCTCACTCTCACCGCTCCCCTGCCTGGTTTAGCTGAGATTTGGGACTGAGAGGGGATGCTGGGTGAATCAGACCTGCAGGGGTGTTGGGATGGGGTATGCTGCATGTGAGGAAGATGTGTTTGGAGAGCCAGAGGGCGGGCTTCCATGGCCTGAGCTGTGTCCCCCCCAATGTATATCCTGATGTCCTACCCGCCGGCACCACAGAAGGCAATTCGTTAGGATGATGGAGGTGTGATCAGCCAGTTCAGGGGAGGGTTCCCTGGACTGGGCTGGGCCCCCAGCCAGTGTGACCCCAAGTTTATGAGAAGGGGCTTGGGGGACAGACACAGGCACAGGACGCGTGGTGGAGGCACAGAGGCAGGAAAGGAGGGTGGCGGCGATCAGCCCGCCCTCTCACCACCCCACGCAGACACCTGCTCCGCCTCCATCTGACCCGGAGGCAGCTGGCAGGATACACTCCTGAGGTCTAAGCCCCTGGCCTGAGCTGCTTCCGTGATGGCCTTTGGACACTCATGGTGCTGCCTGAGGACCAGCCCCTGCGAGGAGAGCCGCCAGCAGTGCTGGGTGAGCCTCACGCTGCCTGAGCCCTGCTCCCCCCCCCGCCCCCCCAACCTCCCTCCTCTCCACACAGCCCATGGGCTGGGCCCAGACGGAATTCGCTTAACATAGTGGTCCGCAAGCTCCTTAGTCCCCAGAGCCAAATATCAACAGGACAATGACTGACATTTCTTCGGAGAGCCACATTGTTTAAACTTAAACTTCTTCTAATGCCACTTCTTCAACATAGACTCGCCCACGCCGAGGTATTTTGTGGAAGAGCCACACACAAGTAGCCTGTGGCTCGTGTGCCACAGTTTGCCGACCACGGACTTAATGGAAATGGAGCCGGGGCCTGGAAGCTGTCCCCGTGGATCCCGGGCCAGGGGAGCCTTCCCCTCGGACCCGCGACCTTGCCCAGTTCTGCCGTGGACAGTGACCCGCAGGGCCAGGCGGGCGCTCAGGCCGGGACACCCATGCGGTGTCTCAGCTCTCGGAAGTGCCTCCTCCCAAAGCCAGGCTCAGCAGCACTGCCCTGGCCCTTCCGGGGACCCTGGCCCTGCTGGTCTGCCCTGCCTACCTGTCCCGGCTGCCTCTCCCAGGCCCGGCCACCACAGCGGGTGGGGATGCGGCATGGCCTCTGGCCCCCCGGCTGTGCATCCTGGGCCCCTGTGCATGGCTCCTGCCTCCCGCACCTCACGCCCACGTGGCCCCTGGCCTGGCTGCCACCTGCCTCGTTTTCGCCCCAGGGGGTATTGTGCCTCCCCTGCTGTCCTGCCTCCGGCCATGCACGCTCTAGACTGGACACGGGTCTTCCGGGCACCCCCCAGACACTCGGCGAGGGTGGACAGACGGCGCGGCTGGCTTTCCAGGAACGGCAACAGGCAGTGAGGCGCGTCCTGAGGGTGCCCCGGGCGAGGCCCTACTGACCACAGGGAGGCCGAGCCCAGCTCCACGAAGATGGTGCCGGGGAGCCTGGCCTGCATCCCCCCAGCTCAGCCTCGCCCTTCAGGCTCCTCTGCCCCCAGCCCTCCCTTTCCCACGCGCCCGTCAGAATCACACACACACACACACATGTCACAAGATAGCACACGTATTTATTTCAAGGCGACACGGGCACACACTGCGAGCCACCCGGGCCGCACTCGGCGGTGGGCGTCCAGGGAAGCGGCTTCCTGGCACTGGAAGCTGGAGGCGCTTGGGGAAGGGGAGAGGGGGAGAGGGGAGGGTATGTACAAGGGGCCCAGCACGCAGGCCCAGCACACAAGGCGGCGGGCACCCCCTCAGCTCCGTCTCCTTGTGTCCACGCTCCTGCCTGGCGGGTCACTTCACCTGTGGACGACAGAGGCAGCGTGAGGCACTGCTCGGGGCGGGTCTGGGTGCCCGGACCCCCAGCCCGCCCGCCTGCTCAACCGCCCACCTTGAACAGAGTGACGGTCGTGCTGTAGAAGAGGCTGAGCAGGAACAGGACGATGAAGGTGGAGGCCATGGTGTTGAGGTTCTCAAAGCCCTCCTCGTCGGCGCTCACCTCCCCCCCTGCAGGGACACAACGTGGGGCTCAGTGCTGCACCCCAAACCCCCTCCCAGCCACCCATCCTCCTGCTGCCCAGGGCCCTGGCGGTGCTGCCCCCGGAGGGCGGGGCAGGGTGGGGCAGAAGCGAGGGCAGCAGGGCAGGTCTGAGCCCGGCAGAGCTGGGCTCCCACAGCCGCCTGGAGGCCAGGCAGAGTCCCCGTCCTGAGGCCCTGGGCACAGGGTGACAGCAGCTCACAGACACAGGGGTGGGTGCCACACAGGGCCGGGATAGGGGGCCCAGTGGAATGCATTCAGGGTCCCGGGCTCTCCTCGAGGGGGTACGGCCAGGGCCACTTGGGGTGATGAAGCTGGGAATGGGGCCTCCTGTCCCCTGCGAGTGGGGGTGGCAGTGGGGGCAGGCACAGGTCTGGGACCGAGGGACCCTCCTTGCTTCCTCAGCGGGACTCTCACTCTCTCCTTCTCAGAGTGGAGGGCGAATGTAGGAGGCCATGGGGGGCTCTGGCTGGCGTGTCTGCCCCACTAGGAATCATATCTCTGGGACCCAGAGGTCTGACAGACACCCAAGGCTCGGGGCAGAGTGAGGCTGGATGGACAGACAGACACATACAGTGGGGTCTGGAGCCCCAACACAGATGGGCCTTTGAGGCAGCTTCTGGAGTCCAGGGCCCCAAAGGACCAGGAGCACAGGGTGTCTAGGGGTTGCCCAGGGGCCGAGCTCTCTGCTGGGAACGGGCCCCCCCGGGTCCCTGTGCCCCTCACTCCCTGCTGCAGGTGGCTTCTGTCCCCACCAGGTTCCAGGGCCAGGTGTCTGCGGGGCAGAGCCCGTGGATCAACCTCCCTGCCTCCGGGACACGCCGACCACTTCTGTTCACTGGGGTACAGGGCCTGCTGCTTCATCAGCCGCCTGCCCAGAGGCCCCTGAGCCCCTGCCCAGGCCTGGGCGGGTGCCTGGTCAGAGTCCTGGTGGGCTGGCCCCTGGGTGTACCTCCAAGGGCAGACAGAGGACAAGCAGGCTGGACAGGAAGCCGTGCAGCAAGCGTGGCACAGAGGCAGGCGTCAAAGGCACCGAGTGACCTGGGCGCACAGGGTGGACATCTGTGTGTGTGTCTGTGCTGTGTGCACATGAATGTGTGTGTCTGTATGTGCTTGTGTCTGTGCAAATGGGTCCATGTGCCCGTGTACACCTGTGCACCCATGACTCATCTGTGTGAGTGCCCAGGTGAGTATGTGACCGTGTGTGCATGTGTATATGAGTGTGCATTAACTGTGTGTCTGCCTGCATGTTTGCATGTTTGCACACATGTGCAGATATCTGCGTACATGTGTACATCCCTGCACACGTGTATGTGTACACATGCCAGTGTGCTCATGTCTCTCGCATGTGTGTCTCTAGAACAATGTGCATTCGTGCTTCTCTGTGTATGTGTCCACATGTGTGGATGTATATATGAGTGTGCACATGTCTGTGTACACATGTTTGAATGTGTAGATATTTGTGTGTGTATCCATGTCTTTGCATGTCTCTGTGTTCCCACATCCACTGCACATGTCTCTTTGTTCATATTCATTTGTGTATGTCTATGCCTGTGTGCCTGTGTGCTTCTTTGTGCATGTGTCCATACTTTGCATGTGTCTATGTGTATACACACACGTGGCACCACACACACACACACATGCACAGCAAACACACGTGTCTATGTATTTGCACACACCTGCACATGTGCATGTGTTTGTGTGCTCATGTTATAGTATATGTGTCTGTGTCCGCATCCATTTATGTACATGTGCCTGTGTGCCTTTGTGTATGTCCATGCCTGGGCATGTGTCTGTGTGCATGCATGCATGTGTGCACATGTGCATGTGTTGTGTGCCAATGTCCACGTCACGTGTAGCTGTGTCCATGTGTGTGCATATCTGTTTATGTCTGTGTGCATGCATGCATGTGTCTCTGTGTGTGCATGTGTGCATGTGTGTTGTACACCCATGTCCCTGTGAGCCCATAGCAGCTGTGGAGAGGCGGTGAGCATTGCACTGTCTGCTGTGAGCACTCTGCAGGGCTCAGGGCTTTGAGAGGCGAGTGGGAAGCCAGTGGGTGAAGCAGGGGTGGGGGCAGCACAGCCGTGGCCCCAGCGGGCGAGAGCATTGCTCACTCGGACCAGCATCTTTTGAACAGACATTTTTATTTCTGGTTTTTATAGAATGCAACACCCCACCCATTGACACAGTCAGTTTGCATACATGCACACACAGCGACAGGTCAGCCAGAGGCTCCGGACCGCCCTGGAGGGGCAGCCTGGGGTCAGTGGCAGGTGCTGGCCAGGTCAGACATGACCAGGGACACGTTGTACAGGGTGGGTTTACCGGTGGACTTGTCCACGGTCCTCTCGGTCACCGAGTAGGGCAGGGCCTCGTGGGCCACGACGCAGGTGTAGGTCTCCCCGGCGCTCCAGTCCTCCTCGCTCACCGTCAGGACGCTGTGGACGAAGTACAAGCCGGGGGCCTGGGGCTCGGGCACTGGGGCGCTGGTCACATACATGTCGGAGGACACAGGCTGCCCTCTCTGCAGCCACTGCACAAACACGTCAGGGGGCGAGAAGCCCTTCACCAGGCAGGTGACAGAGGCCGACTCCCGCAGGCTCAGCTGCTCCCGGCTGGGTGGCTGCACGTACACCGAGGGCATGTGCTTGGCGACGTCTGTGGGAAAAGGGGCGGGTGAGCTCAGGTCGGGGGCGGCGGGGTTCAGCCCCCGACAACAGGGGAGCAGAGGGCATGTGTGTCTGTGTGTCTTAGTGCATGATTGTGCAGGTATCTGTGTGCATGTCTCTGTGTGTGCCTGTGTCCGTGTACCTGTTGCATGCCTATGCATGTGTGCCTCTTGCTTCCGGGCCTACCATGGGATCCCCAGCGCTGGATGCCATGTGTGGGAGGGTCTGGGGTGGCGGGAAGGGGGGAAGCCTACCCTTGGGCCTGAAGATGGTATGCTTCAGCGGCGAGGGCAGGTCCGTGTGGGTCACCGTGCAGGTGAACTCCTCGCCCGACTCCCAGTCCTCCACGCACACCGTGGCCTTTCCCATGGCACTGAAGGTGGCGTTGGGGTGGCTCACGGAGATGTTGGTGTAGGTTTGCATCTCAATGCCATTCTTGCGGGTCCAGGAGATGTGCAGGCTGTCATAGGTGGCCAGGTCCGTGACCAGGCAGGACAGCGTGGCCTCCTTGGTGAGGAAGATGCTGGCGAAGGTCGGGGGGATGGTGAAGACTCGGATGGTGGACGTACCTGGGACAGGACAGGGGTGGTCAGGCCAAGGCGTCGACTTGGCGGAGCCTCTCCTGGGCCCTGGGGTCCTGCCAAAGGGGATACCGGGTCCCGCCCGACAAGCCTCCCTGGGGGCCCCCCTCCCCGCCCCTGGCCTCTCCGGGAAGCCAAGGCTCGGGGAGCTGCAGGCCCGTCAGGGGCAGTTCTGCCGACCGAGAGGACACCTGTGTGCTGGGGGCTCTGCCAGGGCGGGATCACTCACTGGGGCCGCACATGGAGGACACGTTCTTCTGGAAAGTGAGTGCCTGGTGTTCTACTTGGCAGGTGAACACGCTCTGGCTCAGCCAGTCGCTCTCGGTGACGGTCAGCGTGCTGGTGACCCTGTAGGTCAAGGGGCGGGCTCTGCGCTCGACCTCTGGCTTGTCCGTGACGAAGCCGGAGGTCAGCAGCTTCCCCTCCTTCAGCCAGGACACGGCGATCTTCTTGGGGCTGAAGCCCGAGGCCTGGCAGATGAGCGAGGACGTGCGGAGGCCGGGGCCGGTGAAGGAGTCGCGGGGCGGGATGAAGACGTTCACGTGGGGCGGCAGCACTTCGCTGTCTGCGGGGAGGAGTCAGCGTCATGGGCCGCTGCCCCCCTCGCCCTCCCGGCAGCCCACCCGCAGGGGAAGGCCGCTCACCTGGGATGGCAAACTGCAATACTTTTTCGCCGTTGGGGTGTTTGACCTTGCATGTCACAAACTCGTCCGGGCCCTGGAGGATGTCGGCCGTGGGCAGGAGGACCTGCGAGCTGGCCTGGTACTTGCCCTCCCTCATGACCGAGGGAAAGTTCTGGACGGCACTGATGGCGC